CCTTTAATCCTAGGGAGACAGAGGCAGTTTAAGTTTACTAAAGGGCCTGGACCTGATCCTGGTCTGGCCACCAGGATGTTGCTGCCCTGGCTTCTGTCAGACTTGCTTGCTGGCTGCTCTAGGCTTTACACTTCTCAACATCTCCAGCCCTGACCTTGTAACTGAGCTCCAGGTATGTCAAGAATCCTCCATACAGCCCCAAACAGCTCTTACTTCCCAACTTGCCCCCCTCCTCTGTAAATGACAACTCCACTTTTGCAGTTGCTAGGCCTTAAAACCTTAGTCATTTTGATTCTTTACACCTTAACAACTGTTGCTGTCTTCTGTCTCAAACTGCAATGACTTTTCACTGGCCCCACATCCCACTCTGGGTTCCCAAAGAATCTTTTAAAGTATGTGACCTTGTCACTTCCTTGATCTGAATTCTGAGAAATCCCTTCTAGTGGTGCCCATCTCATTCATTCATATTTAAAGCCAAATTCTTTCCTCACTGTGGCTTAGGCCCTCTCCTGTATTTATCTCATTACCCAATCAAAATAAAAAAGGTAGGGCTGGAGAGATGGCTCAGCAGTTAAGAGCACTGGCTGCTCTTGCAGAGGACCTGGATTTGATTCCTAGCACCCAAACGGCAGCAAACAACTGTCTGTAAGTCCGGTTCTGGGGAATCTGAGGTCCTCTTCTGATCTCTAGGGGCATTACAGGACATGGGTGCACTTACTTTCCTGCAGGCAATACATTCATCCACATAAACAAAAATGAGTAAAATATTTTAAATATTTTTAAAATAAAAAGGTGTTACAGTGCATGAGTACCAACAATTCCAGTACTTTATTCCTGAAAGCAGAATCCCTCCAAAGTGCTGGAATCTAACCTTGGCCTTGGTAGACTTGCTGTCATCCCAGTATACCCCAGCAGGAGGGTTTTGAGACAGGGTCTTGATATGTAGTGCAGGCTGGCCTGTACGTGTGTGTGTGTGTTTGTCTTTTTGAGGCAGGGTCTCCCTATACCCCAGCTGTCCTGGAACTCACTATGTAGACCAGGCTGGCCTCAGCCTAGCAGATCTCGGCCTGCTTCTGCCTCCCAAGTGCTGGGATTAAAGGCCTGTGACACCAAGCCCGGTTTAGCCACCCTAGTACTAGGATTAAGGGTGCTGCCATGCCAGATATCTCCCAAAATTTAAAAACGCTTTTGTTTTTAACTTAGTGCCGAATCCCCAGGGCCTACAGCAACAGACGCATGTGCCCAATAAATTTGCTGAATTAATACAAATAATGAAAATGCCGCCCAGCGCTGTATTCTTTTAAAATACACAACCACTGGAGGGCAGGCATGGCGCATCTCCTCTTTGACAGAACTGAGGCTTAAAACTTGCAATGTGCACAAGACCAGGTTCCAGGCTGCGGGCCAGCCTGCAGGCTGACCTGTCCGTCCCCCTGCCCCATCTCCCTACAGGTTGCCAGCCAGATGCCAGCGCCGTCGGCCGATCCGGCGCGACCCCACGCGTGTCCGGACTGCGGCCGAGCCTTCGCGCGCCGCTCCACGCTAGCCAAGCACGCGCGCACGCACACGGGCGAGCGGCCCTTCGCGTGCACCGAGTGCGGCCGGTGCTTCTCGCAGAAGTCGGCGCTGACCAAGCACGGCCGCACACACACGGGCGAGCGGCCCTACCAGTGCCCCGAGTGCGACAAGCGCTTCTCCGCCGCCTCGAACCTGCGGCAACACCGGCGGCGGCACACTGGCGAGAAGCCCTACGCATGCGCACATTGCGGCCGGCGCTTCGCGCAGAGCTCCAATTACGCACAGCATCTGCGAGTGCACACGGGCGAGAAGCCGTACGCGTGCCCGGACTGCGGACGAGCCTTCGGCGGAAGTTCGTGCCTGGCGCGCCACCGACGCACGCACACGGGCGAGCGCCCGTACGCATGCGCCGACTGCGGCACGCGCTTCGCTCAGAGCTCGGCGCTGGCCAAGCACCGGCGCGTGCACACCGGCGAGAAGCCGCACCGCTGCGCCGTGTGCGGCCGGCGCTTCGGCCACCGCTCCAACCTGGCGGAGCATGCGCGCACGCACACAGGCGAGCGGCCCTACCCGTGCCCCGAGTGTGGCCGCCGCTTCCGCCTCAGCTCGCACTTCATCCGCCACCGTCGTGCGCACATGCGGCGCCGCCTGTACATCTGCGCTGGCTGTGGCCGAGACTTCAAGCTCCCCGCCAGTGCCACGGCCGCCACGCCCACCGAGCGCTGCCCCGAGTGCGAGGGCACCTGAGCCGCGGTGGGGTCTAGTACCCGGCCTGGGAGGGGCATGGCGGGACTTCACCTGGCTGCCTTGACCTGGATGGCTTCTTCCACGCCCGGGGCAGGCCGGAGGCTCCGGGCCTGGGAGATGGGGAGTGCCCTGCGCCCCACTACTTTCCCTTGGCCCTTATGAGTGAATAAAGTATTAATATCCTCACCCCACCCGTGCCTGTGAGTGAGGTGGGTTGAAAGGGAAGGCTGGGACTTCGGGTTGTCACAGCCAGTAGGGCTATTATATAGCCTAAAGGGATTTCTCAAATTGAGGGAGCCTACGCTTGGCCTTTCGTTATGCCTGAGCCTCAGATACGAAAACCATAAATAGAACGCGCTAATGACCAAAACAGTGCTGTTCTGTAGCCTTATACGGCTATCTATAAAAAGAACATTAGCTCCTGAATGACTTAAAAACCCCATATAAGCTCACTATTCCTCAATAAAGCAGATCTGTCTCTGAAAAAAAAAAAAAAATTAGCTCGTTTTCATCTTCCAGATAGGGCCTTCATATGTAGTATGTGGCTGGCCCAGAACTACTTTATAGACGGGGCTGATCTTGAAGTTACAGCCTTCTGAATGCTGAAGTTACAACTGGCTCCAAAAATTTTTATCTCCACTTTGGCAGATTCGGACAGTGAATAGCGCAATAGTAAAATGGTAATTACGATCCATTGATAACCAAAACTGTGATGAGGGTGGGGGTGAGATGAACTGGAGGGGTCCTCTAATAGTCAAGAGCTTAAAGAGGGGGCTGGAGATGGCTGAGTGGTTAGGAGTGAATCCATGTTTGCAGCAGCTCCTGGGGAATCCGATATGTCTGGGTTCCTGTGGGACCCTGCACTTACATGCACATACCTACATACAGATCACATAGTTAAAAGGCTGGAAAGATGGCCCAGTAGTTAAGAGCACAGACTGTTCTTGCATAAGACCAGGGTTTGGTTCCTAGCAACCACATGGCTGCTAACAATTGTCCATAACTCCAGTTCCAGGGAATGTAACACCCTCTTCTGACTTATACAGACATTGCATGCATCGGTGCACTTACATGCAAAACACTCAGAATTTTAATTAAAAATCAAGTTTAGAGCAGCTCTCATATTTTTTGTTATTGGGGGGGGGTGGTCTCCCTGTAGCCCCAGCTGACCTGGAACTATGTAGATCAGGCCTGCCTTGAACTCAGAGATCTGCCAGTCTCTGCCTCCTGGGTGCTCTGATTAAAGGCATGTGCCACTATGCCGGGCCAGCTATATTTTTTAAGATTACCTTTCATTATGTATGTGGGTCTGTGTATGGATATGTGCATATGAATGCTGGTGCCCAGAGGTGTCAGATCTCCCTAGGGCTGGAGCTACAGGTCTTTACGAAATGCCTGACCTGGGTACTGGGAATCAAATTCTGGTGCTGTGCAAGAGCAGTATGCGATCTTAAACATTAAGGCACCTCTCTAGCTCTCAGACATTTTTAAAGACAGTTTTAGGCTGGGCATGGTGATACATGCCTTTAATCTGAGCACTTGGGAGGCAGAGGCAGGAAGATCTCTGAGTTCAAGGCCAACCTGGTCTACATAGTGAGTTCCAGGCCAGCTGGGACTACAGGGAGACTCTGTCTCAAAAACAAAAAATTTAGGGGCTGGAGAGATGGCTCAGAGGTTAAGAGCACTGATTGCTTTCCAGAGGACCTGGGTTCGTTTCCCAGCACCCAGATGGTGGTTAACCACCATCTATAACTAGTTCCACAGGATCTGACAAACCTCTTCTGGCCTCTGAGGATCTGTAATGTGCAAGGCAAAATACTCAGACATACAGAGTTTCTATAAAGTGATAATAAATATTGGCTATGTTTTTTTAATTTAAAATATTTCAGGGATGTGTGTGTTATGTGCACACTATGGTGTGTGGAGGTCAGAGGACAACTTTCAGGAGTTTGTTTTCTCCTTCTACCATGTGGGTCTCAAGGATCTAATTCAGGTCAGGCTTGTTGGCAAGTACTTCACTCATGAGCCATCTCACCAGCGCAGAAGTAAGGTTTGGTCTTTTTAAGTCTTTTTTTTTTTTTAATGTTTTAGTATTTTTATTTTATGTGTATGAGTGTATTGCCTGCAAGTATGAGTGCATTGTGCAGTGCTGCGGAGGTCAGTAGAGGGCTTCGGATTCCTCTAGAACTGGAGTTAAGGACCGTTCGTAGCCGCCATGTGGGTACTGGGAATTGAACCCAGGTCCTCTGCAAGAGCAGTCAGTGCTCTTAACCGCTGAGCCATCTCTCCAGCTCCAAGAGTTTTTAATTTTATTTATTTATTAATTATTTATTTATTTATTTTGGGGGTCTTTTTTTGAGACAGGGTCTCCCTGTAGCCCCAGCTGTCCTGGAACTCACTATGTAGACCAGGCTGGCCTTGAACTCACAGAAATCTGCCTGCCTTGAAGTCAGCCTGGTCTAGTGAGCTCCAGGTCAGCCAGGGCTACAGTGAGACTGTCTCAACTCTATCATGTATATTATTTACATTTTACAAGAGGACTGAAGTAATGATGATGGAAATACATACATCCAATCTTGAGCTCTTAAGACAGCTTGGCTTCAGTATTTGGACTGATAACCAATATACATGCATCCTTTACAGGTCCAATAGGGAAGTACCAGTACCAGCAATGGGCTATAGCACCCCTGGCTCCCCTCGGCAGGACTTGAGACAGCTTACCTAGCCATCCAAGAAAAATCTGGAAGTTGTTACCTTAAACCATTTTATTGGGAGAGAAAACACCAGCCAACTATCTTCTAGAGGCTCCTGGGCCTCAGACCCACAGTTTAGTAAGAAAGGACAAGAACAAGTTCCATCTGCTGTTCAGAAGCGGTTTCTAGGTGGAGACCTGGGTTTTCAAGTCAGAGGCAGGGTCTTCAGGCCCTGAAGCCTGGTCCTCAGAGATGGTCCCATGGGGCAAGTCTGTATACTTTCGGGCAGAACCTCGGGACAAATGGACTGGATAACGTCGTCGATTGGTGTCCATTTTGGAGAGTACTGCTTGGGGCAGGTCCACATGGCATCGTGCTGCTAATGCTACTAAGTAGATGAGGACGTCACTAAGCTCCTCTTGAAGGGCTGCCCGCTCCTTTGGGGGCCAGGCTTCAGGACCAGGCTCTTTATCAGACTTCCACTGACTGGAGACAACACAGGACAAGATACACAAGATTGTAGCTAAGACAATGGGCCAGCCTCCACAGTAAGCAGGCATTACACCCCCACCTCCCAGGAAACCTCTCCAAGGACAACCCACCCACCTGGGAGGAGCCAAGTAGGAAAGAGTCCTCAACAGATAATAGCCAGACCTCTGGGACTCTACAGCAGCAGGGAGGGGTAAATACTTCACTTGTTGAGATGCCTTGAGGCTCAACTTTCTCTAGCCCTAGCTTTGGCCACTCCAAACCAAACCCCAGACTTGGATCTGTGCAGAAGCCTAGTTCATCTTCCTGCTAACTCATCTTCATCCCTTATGCTATTCTCACCTAAAGCCACTGTTACCTTTTCTACCTGCAGTCACAGTTCCCTGTACCATGAATGCTCTTTCTCCATACCCCTAGATTTTGCCATGGTTGGCTCCTTCCTGATACTGGTCTCAATCCAGGGGTTATGTCCTCAGAAAGCCTTCTCTTGGTCACTTTCTCATCTCTTTATGTCATTACCACCCCACCAGGGTTTTCTGTAGTCCAGGATGAACTCCTGATACTCCAGTCTCTGCCTTTCAACTACTGGAATTACAGGTATGAACCAACACATCTGACTTTCCTTTTAAAACCTGTAAAGAGTTAGTTTATGTACCTCTTCTCTGTGAATGGAGTCTGTCTGGTTCAAGCCCCTACCCCCTTTTAAGACAAGGTCATCATTATGTAGCCCTGCCTTGCCTAGAACTTGCTTTGTAGACTAGGCTGGCCTCAAACTCAGAGATCTGCCTCCCTCTGGAACACCATGCCTAGCCCCATCAACACGCCCTTCTGAGTCTTCATGATCCAACATACAGCTAATGCTAATTAATCCATAAAAACTGAATGGTCTTCCCTCACAACCTTTGTGTCCTCTTCTCATCCTCACAGCTGCTGTCCTGATGTAAGTCTATACCAGCCTGCTCCCTGGTCTCCCCACCCCATTCTCCCAAGGATCCAATCTACCCTGCAGGCACAGTGATCTTGATCAGGTCTACTGTCTCAATCTCATCACCCTCTAGCCCCAATCTTCCTATGTTTCCCTCCTAGCCTTGTCTTCCACAGCTCCATCACTCATTCTGTCTACTGATGCTTATGATGCGCCAGACACTTGGGGCACACCAGAGAACAAAAAAGATACAGGCCACTGGGCAGGTCTTCTGGAATTACTTCTTTTCGGTCCCCCACAGAGGGAAAACGCTGGTGCCACCAAATCCTTAGACCTGGGTCTGCCTTACTGTTTCCACACTTTCTCTCCCAGGAGACTAGGTGCTCCTGCAGGCCTGGGACTAAAGAGTCATCTCTGTATTCCCAGCAGTGACACCGATGACAGCAGTGAGGAGGAAAATGGCACCCACAATGTTTGAGGAGCAAATAAACGTTTCCCTTCCCCGGAAGCCATCTACTCACAAGAGTTCTGCCAGCTCTCCTACTTCACCGACCAAGGCCAAGAGCAGATTCCGAGGCTGATGGAACTGGGCCCAGTCCCGCTCAGCAGCAAATTCTGCGTGGAGGCGTCGACTGGAATAAAATAAAGGGGTGCAGGTTCGCGTCTAAGGGCTTGTGGGTGGTGGAGAAGATGCAAGGCCCTGGCAAACATCCTAGTCATACATATAAAGGGGGCCCCTGAGACCAGGGGATTTCAATGACAATTTCTTGGTCTTGCTCTTTACAAGACTTGGTCTTCTTATCTGGAAATGCTTGTGCCCTGTACAAATTTCAACCTCAAGCCAAACCCAACAATACTCTTTATTATCGTTTCTCCCGCTGCTAATTTTACGGGAATGTCCCTATCTCTGCACACCTAAGACCTCTCAGCAACTTTTCCCCTAGGAACCTTCCTTGATATTCTGCAATCAGCAAGAATGCCTCCCATCTCTTTTAGCACTCCAGCTGAGAGTTCGGCCCACTCACTCCAGGAGTGCAAGAGGCCACATCAGACTTCCGCTGCTTCCCCAAGGACCTAAATTGGTCCTAACACCCCCCTCCCCTCCTCCCCCGCGAGCATCATTCGATTTCCCCCGCTTCTGCCATGAGTGCAGATGAGGCTCACGAGGCTCGCCAGTGATCCGCCAGCACCGTAGCACCGCCGAAGACCACGTGGAGGGACCCTGCCCACTTCGACAAAAGGGTCAGTCTGTCCAGCATAGACTGGACAAAGACTGCTTACATGTCCTCGAGCGTGGGCTCCGGGCTGAAGCTGAACAAGCCGGCGGCAGCCGCGCCTTCCCCCTCACTCCCACCAGTACCGCCACCCGCGTGGGACATGTCGCCAAGCCAGGCAACCACACGCACCAAACTCCGCCCGGCTCGCCGAGTCCAGCCCCGAGCCCGGGGCCAATTTCTAGCGGTCTCCTCGCTTCGTGGGGCGGAGCCGCCGGAGAAGCCAATCATTTGCGTGGATTTTGCTTCAGCCCGCCCCTCTCCTGGACTGGACCAATCAGCGAGAATTTCGAGTGCGCGCGCGAGGCCGGTGCCTGAATTCTCCCGCCCCGCTAAGCTTCTTAAAGGTAAAAACTCGAATTTGAGAGACGGGCTGACGGCGGCGTGCCGATGGGTGCTAAAGCGGTCCTGCACGACGAGGAGGAGGGCGCACTCAGAGGAAAACCCTGCACATCGGGGGCCCTACCCTCGGTAGTAAGTCTCCTGGCCAAGACACTGATGTCCCCAGACTAGCCTTCACACTCTTGGAATTGATGGACGAGAAAGAAGGCCGTCAGACAGGAGGAAGGCCTTGCAGCTCATTTCAGATCCCTACCCCAGCTGATTTCTATGGTTGCAAGCAGTTAACCTGTCCATCCTTGTCCTATAAGGGGAAATTCATTCTCACTCTCTACACGCAAAGCACAAGACTCTGAAGTACGTGGAAGATAGGATCTGGCTATTGTCTACCTTTTTTTTACTTAATATTAAAAGTTTTTTTTAATCATGAGGACTTTTATTTAATAAAAAATATTTTTATGTGGGGGTGGGGGTTGGGGGTATATGTGCTCTTGAGTGCAGTTGCCCACGTAGGCCGGAGAGTTGGATTCCAAGGAGTTGGAGTTACTGGCTGTTGTGATTATAACAGAAGAATGCACACGTGTAGGGCTACTTACACAATGAATATTGTTAGCATTTCGAATTGAGTGCAAACAACGGAAACAATTTTGAACTGGTTTTAACAGAAAGGGGAATTTGAAGCATGTGTGGTGGCACATGCAATTCCAGCACTTGGTAGGTGGAGGCTGGAAGTTCAAGGTCATCTTCAGCCACATTGAGAGTTTGAAGCCAGCCTCAGCACCAGGATACTTTGTCTCAACAAAATAAAACAAAACATCAAAATCCAAAAACACTAAGAAAATGAAGTTTGTTGTAAGGATGTAACTGTAAGCATTTTACATCATCGCAGTCTTAGGTAGGTCAGCCCCAATTTACAGATGAGGAAACTGCAAGAAGATCTTGACTTTGAGGCCAGCTTGGGCTACATAGTGAGATCCTGCCTTAAGACAAACAAACAAACCAAAAAAATCTCAGAATGAGGCCAGCCTGAGGCCTACATAGTGAGTTCTAGGACATCTGGGGCTACAGGGAGATCCTTTCTCAACCAAACCAAACCAAAGCAACAGCAAACTAAACCACAACAAAAGACACAGGATGTTTCTACCTCCTATGTGGTACAGGAAGATGTGATTGAGAGAACCAGCCCTCAGGCTAAGATGGGAGCAGCAGCCAGACGGAAGGGACCTTGATCCTTGAAGCTCCAGAAACATCCTACTTTAGGATTTCAGGTTATAGAAGTTATTACTCAATCCACTTTTATTTATTTATTGTCTTTTCAAAAATGAGATGAGAACAGGTTTGTATGGCTTCTAGTATTATCAAAGATTTTTTAATGCAATAAGGCTATTAGAAATTAGTAATTAAGAAATGTAATTTTAAATTTAAATTTTATTTATTACTATAGTATGTGTATGTACGTGTGTGTGAGTGTGGTTGAGCATGTGCTTGGCAAACACTTTTTTTTTTGTCTTTTTTTGAGACAGGGTCTCCTTGTAGCACCAGCTGTCCTGGAACTCACTATGTAGACCAGGCTGGCCTTGAACTCACAGGGATCCACCTGCCTCTGCCTCCCAAGTGCTGGGATTAAAGGCATGTACCACCATGTCTGGCTACTCAATCCACTTTTAGTTGTGTTTGCTAGGTCCTTTTTCTTTTTTTTTTCTTTTTTTCTTTTTTTCTTAAAGTGACATTCCAACTGAGCGAAAAATCAAGGGTACCCCAGCATTAGTTTGTAAAGCAAGAAACACATGGTATGTTCTACAAAAGGAAGGAATTCAGGGCCTGGGGATGTAAATCAGAGACAGAGTGTGTATTTAGTGTGCATGATAAGCTGGTTTCATACCCAAAACAAGCAGGAGCACAGGAGTGCACACACACAAACACACACACACACTCCAGAACAAGTGGACAACTGATAAATTAACTGGGGAGATGTTAGTGACTCACACGGGCAGTTAGTGGCTAGAACAGGATCTGAAGCTTTGCAGATGTCTACTTTGAGTCCTAAATTTCAGTAAAGACTATGTGACTATTTCATAATACAGATGTTGTCGTTTGCTTACTTAATGATAGTAATTTAACTTGTAACCTCCAATTTTCCTCTTAAGCTGTATTCCACCCCTAGATTGACTTTGTGTCCTGTCAATGGATCTTTCAAAAGATTTGCCAAATGACCATCTTCCTTCTGTAAGTATGCTAGGCTTGGTAAAGTGATTTCAAGTCAGCTGTCTGTTGCCAACAGGGGGAACTCGGCATCCTGGCCCCAGCCAACAATCCCAACACTTAGAAGGCTGAGGCAGGAGGATTGTACATTTGAGGCCAGCCTGGACTACATGTAGAGTTCCAGTCCAACTTCAGCTGTGTAGTAAGACTTTGTCTAAATTAGGAAATAGGGCTGGGGATGTGGTTCAGTTGGTAGAGTGCTTGTTTAGCATGCAAGAAGTCCTAGGTTCAGTCCCCAGACCCAGTAAACTGACTGGACCTGGTGACACATGCTTGTAATCTCAGCACGCAGGAGGTAGATCAGAAGTTCAAGGATGGACTGGAGAGATGACTCAGTGTTAAGAGCACTGGCTCTCTTCCAGAGGACCCAGGTTCAGTTCCCAGCACCCATATGGCAGCTAACAGTCATCTGTAACTCTGGTTCCAGGGGATCCAATTCCCTCTTTTGATTTCTGTGGGCATTGTATAACAGTGCATTTACACACAGGCAGGCAAAATATTCATACACCTAAAATAATTTTTAAAAATTTTTATTATTATTTTTATTTTATGTGTATGCATGTATTGCCTGCATGTAGGTAAGTGCACCTGAGTTGTGCAATGCCCGTGGATCCCCTAGGACTGGAGTTACAGACAGTTGTTAGCTGCTATGTGGGTGCTAGGATTCGAACCCGGGTCTTCTGCAAGAACAACCAGTGTTCTTAACCAGAGCCATCTCTCCAGCCCCCAAATAAAATAATTTTTAAAAAGAAATTAAAAGTTATCTTTGACTACATAGCAAGTCTGAAGCCAGCCTGAGCTAATGAGATCCTACCTCAAACACATGAGTAGTCCACTCTCTCTGAGCCTCAGATTTTTCTTCACTTTTCCTTAATAAATCTATGTTTGCTTTGGTCAAAAAGGGGTGAGGCTGTGAGATGACTCAGAGGGTAAAGATACTTGCTGTCAAGCTTGAGGTCCTGAGTCCAATTTCCAGGACCTGCATGGCTGAAGGAGAGAACTGACTTCTGCAGGTTGTCCTCTGACCTCCACACACTTGCTGTGGCACATGTGTGCATGCACACACAACACAACACACACACGCACACACACACAGTTTTTTAAAGCCCACAACAAATAATAAATAAATAAATAAATAAATAAATAAATAAAAAAGAGAGCACTAAATTAGGTATGGGTTAGTCAACATGAAGGTTGTTGAGCTTTGCTGGACAGGAACTCCAACTAGGCCAGGTGTGGTAGCAGGCACTATTAATCTCAACACTTAGAGGCAGAAGCAAGCAAATCTCTGCCAGTTCCAGACCAGCCTGGTCTATATAATGAGTTCCAGGTCAGCCAGATCTCCATAGTGAGACCCTGTCTCAAGACTTAAAGCACACACAAAATATACCACACATGCGCGCGCACACACACACACACACACACACACATCAACAACAAAGCCTCCAACACTTGTACTGGAAAATGGAATAGAAAACATACTTGAAAAGTTGCTTTCTCAGGAATCATCTATGAATCAAAATTTGAAAGAGTAAGGGACCAGGACTTTCAGAGCTCAAAGATTGGATGGCCCATGGAGACTGGTAGGAGCTCTGGGTCTGGGATTGTCTCTGTGTTCTTCCGAGGAGATCCTGGCTGAGTCTAAGCTTTTGTACAGGATTTTTTTTTTTTTTTTTTTTTTTTTGGTCTTTTTGAGACAGGGTCTCCCTGTAGCTCCAGCTGTCCTGGAACTTACTATGTAGACCAGGCTGGCCTTGAACTCACAGAGATCCACCTGCCTCTGCCTCTTGAGTGCTGGGATTAAAGGCATGCACCACCACGCTTTGTACGGGATCTTTTTTTAAAAAAAATTTTTTAAAAATTATTTTTATGTGTATGAGTGTATTGCCTGCATGTAAGTGCACCCACGTCATGCAGTGCCTGTAGAGGACAGAAGAGGCTGACAGATCCCCTGGAACTGGAGTTACAGTTGTTAACTGCTATGTGGGTGCTGGGATTCGAACCCAGGTCTTCTGTAAGAACAACCAATGTTCTTAACCACTGAGCCATCTCTCCAGCCCCATAAAGGATCTTTAAAAAAATATTACTGTGTGTGCACATGCATGATGTGCATGAGTGTTGCCCACCACAGCAGGCATGTGGAGGGCATAGTGTTAGGGAACCCTGCTGTTAGGGTCGCAGTTTCTCCATGTCCGGATAGCCGCAAAGCGGCTCAGTGGTTGATGGAGAGACTCCCCTTTTCAGCAGGGGGCCTCCTGCTTTCTTCCTGGCTCACTTTGAAGTGCCCACCACAGATGCCTTATCTAAAACATAACCTCTGGCATAGAAACTACCAGGTTTTTTCTATGTGATAATCAGACACTGTCTGACAGCATAGAAGCCCACTGCCACATGTAAATAAAGCATACTAGGAGCACCTATCAGCTGAGGCTTTTGCTACTGCCTCCACAGTATAAATCTTCTAGTTTTCCCCCTAATAAAGCGGAGCTGTATCACTGAATCTGACTGAGCTGTGTTTCACTGCACCTGGGACCAGCCTGTGAGCAGTCTTCCCGGAAGAAGCTGCCTTCCGTCAGTACTCACTGGCGCAGCTTCTGCGTTTGCCGTTCCTGCACTTTCCTGCCCTCGTGGCTCGGTGGCCAATGACCCACGAACCAAGGGGGAGCCCCCCGCAGCTAGCCCGAGCCTCCCGCAGCTTGGCGCAGAGCCCCCTGCAGCTTGGCGCGGCCCGCCTGCAGCCCACAGAGCCCGCCCGGCAGCCTGCAGCTTGGCGCAGAGCCGCCATAGACCCGCAGCGATCTGTAGCCGCCTGCACCCGGCAGCCGCTGAGGAAGAGAGCCAGAGAGACCCGCCCCGCAGCATAGGACAACTTTGTGGTGTTGGTTCTCTCTGTCCACTGTTGGGTATGGTTGGGCATGTGGGTTCCAGGGATTGAGCTGAACTTGCTGGGCTTGTGCAGCAAACTCCTTTACCAGGCAAGCAGTTTGTAAACTATCTTGCAGAATCATGAGTTCTTTGCTCCACAGCAATATTATCTGAAGAACAACCCAGTCCTAAGCAGAGAGGACAGACATGAGTGTCCAGCTGGCCCCAGCACCTGCACTCCTCATCCCAGGCCACTCCTTTACTTCCATATTCAGTTTTCACCATTCTCTTTGGAAAACGTTGGCAGCCCGAGCTCCCTGCTTGAATCAGGGCCTCCGTGTGTTTGCTCTCATCTTTTGGTTCACACTTGTTACAAGCCCTTTATGAACCTATCCTCCCAAGAAATTCTTTTCAAATCAAAGGTGACTCTCTAGCACAAACCAGCTAGTATTTGAATTGGCAGGTGTGTACATGTACACTTTCACCCTGCTAATGCTCAAAAGAGTTTGGCTACCTTCCCAGTAATCCCAGTATGGCTCCTAAGAATGGAAGAGGTGGTGGCTACTTGAGAACAAGGGGCAGGTTATATGACAGCATGGAGACTTGGTGTGGCCAGAGGTCCCAGAGACTACAGGGTATGATGGGATACCAGGAGTCAGGTGGTTGGGCACCCACTGACTGGTGCCTTTGAGATCAGTCCTAATCTTAGCCTTAGCTTCCCTATACATATAATAGGGATCCAGCCTACGTAGCCTCCAGGTACCCTTTATGTGTGCAATGGGTAGAATGGAGCAATATGTATTTATTTATAGCTGTAGCCCCAGTACCCACCACATTATTGTTAGTGGCCTTGCTGGCTTTGAATTGAGTAATGGAAAGAAGATGCTGGTAAAATTTAGAATGTTTTTTTCTTATTGTACTTTCCTGGAGGACCCAGAATGCAGACTTTTAGGAATCTCTAGCCTAGCCTTTCCAGCCAGGGAGACTCCAACACCTTCAAAGGTCTACTGTTCAAGCCTTATCTCCCTCCACACATGCCGAAATCCAGTCAGAAGTTCCCTTCCTCCCCACCTGCCTTTGATCATGTGGTTCTTCCCATCCCCTTTTCTGCACATTCAAACCTAACTCCACCCATCCTGCAGAACCCTGCTTCAAAGCCACCTCCTTTGGGAAGCTTTCCTAAAGTCTCAAAAAAAGGAATGGAGCTGAAGAGATGGCTCAGTGGTTAAGAGCACTGGTTGTTCTTGAAGAGGACCAGGGTTTGATTCCCAGCACCCATATGGTGGCTAACAGCTGTCTCCAACTCCAGTTCCAGGGGATCCAATGCCCTCTTCTGACCTCTGCGGGCATTGTAAGACACAGGTGCACTTACACACATGCAGGCTATACACTCATACACATAAAAAAATAAAAAAAAAATTTTTTTTGGTCTTTTTGAGACAGGTCTCCCTGTAGCCCCCACTGCTGGCCTTGAACTGGCCTTGAACTTACAGAGATCCGCCTGCCTCTGCCTCCTGAGTGCTGGGATCAAAGATGTGCACCACCACACCTGGCAAAAAAAATATTTTTTAAAAAAACTTTAAAAATTTTCTTTTATGTGTATGCGTGTATTGCCTGCATGTAGGTAAGTGCACCCGTGTCATGCAATGCCCATGGAGGACAGAAGAGGCTGTCGGATCCCCTGGGACTGGAATTACAGACAGTTGTTAGCTGCCATGTGGGTGCTGTGATTCGAACACAGGTAGGTCTTCTGCAAGGATAACCAGTATTTTTAACTGCTGAGCCATCTCTCCAGTCCTGCAAAAAAAAAAAAAATATTTTAATAAAAGGAATGAATTCGGGCTAGAGAATTCACCTCTACACATATGTGTCTGCACACACACACACACACACACACACACACACCAAATTTAAAAGTAAATCAAAAGGCAAGAATTTGGACTTTTGCCTTCATCCACTCTAGTGCTCATGACACTCTGCACTTTTCACTGTAGTTTTGAACCTAACACCTGAACCAGAGTCCCTTGGAATAGACACTTCCTCAGGGCTGGTACTAATAGTACTTGTAACAGCTGCTCATCTCCTGGGATCACCTCCATGACCTTCCTCCCCTTGGTGGGTATGGCTGCCTCTATATTTTGTCCTTTTCTTCTGAGACAGGGTCTGGCTATGTAGGCCTTAAACACACTGTGTGGTAGCTCAGGTTAACCTCAAACTCAGATTCCCCCACCTCGGCTTCCTGAGGGCTAGATTACAGGTGTGTCCTATCATGCCCAGCTTGGCTGCACTCATAGGCTATGAAACCAAGGCCCATAGAGGCAAAGGCTGAGGCTTACAATGCTCTCCAGAAAACAAGGACGTTTCCCCACTTAGGTTAAGAAGAGGAGGCAGCGCACATGTCCCCAGGTCACCCTTCCCTTCTGTTCTGTCCTCTCCTTTAAGCTCTATCATCTACTCTTTATCCCTTTTTCCTTCTCTATTGCCTCCTCTGCCCTGCTTGCTCTTACAGTTCTAATTTCTGCCTAAGGCCCTGTTCATGGTGCTGGGATCAGACACACAGCCTAATGCATGCTCTGCAAGCATACTACTGAGGCACATCCTTAGCTCTGCCAGTATCTTCCAGACAAAGTGCATACAGTGAAACCATTTGATACCTTGCATCTCAATGCTCAATGTTTTCTTCCTCCCCGCGCCCCCTTTTTTTTTCGTCTTTTTGAGACAGGGTTTCCCTGTAGCAATTGGCTGGCCTTCAACTCACAGAGATCCACCAGCTTCGGCCTCGCAAGTGCTGGGGTTAAAGGTGTGGCCACCACACCAGACCTTGTTTCCAATAAACTTTGTCAACTTTATCTCCTCGCTGAATTGTAAAATTGTAGCTTTCTGTATTCTAAACATACTTTAGTTTTTTTCTACTCCCTGTAGTCTCTTTCCTCTGAGTTTCTTTTTTTTCTATTTCAAGTTGGAAGCTTGCCTCAGATGTCTGGTGATGCTTGGTTGCTCATATTTAATGATAATAATGAGGCAAGTGGGGATTAGCTCAGTGGTATAGCACTTGCTTAGCTTCCAGCATGTACAAGGTGTTGAGTTCCGGTTCTCACAAGGAGAGACTGAGACCAAAATTTTACATATCAAAACTCTTGAGCCACTTATGGTGGTGTCGGCCTATAGTCCCAGCCCTGAGGAGACTGCTTCAGCAGGACAGTCTTGAGTTTGAAGCTAGCCTGGGTTACATAGCAAGATGCTTATCTATCTCCCACCCTCCCCAAAAAAAGACACATTAAAAGGTTTTAATGTCTGAATGAAGCTTTTCAACTGGGAGATTTCACAATAGTTCATTAGAAAGACCCTAATTTTATATTTATACATCTTTGTTTTCTGGGCATGGTCTTTTTTTCCAGAGTATTCTTAAATCTTTCACTTGTGCCAAGCTACTGATGACTAAAGCTTCTTGATCAAGGTCATTTTGTTTTTTGGCACTAGAGATTGAACCTTGCCCATGTTACACCATTCTAACACTGAGCCACACCCCAGCCCTTTGGCCAAGGTTTTAAATTTTTCTTTCTCTTTATCCCCCCACCACCCCCCCATGAGATGCTGAGTTTTGAACCAAAGGCCTCATGCATGCTAGGCAAGCAACTCAATGAACTGAGCCCCAGCCCTAGCAAGTGGCTGAGATTTTAATGGCTAAGATGAGGAAGTAGGGGACACTCATTTTTGTTTTTATTCTTTTCAGGCTCCCTGGCTTCTGTTGTGCCTGGTTTTCCTGACTGTCCCTTTCTTCTCAGAGATGAAGGTGGGGGAAGGTTTGGAAAAGTGTAGATATAATTAATTACCCCTGGGTATAAGCTTTCGAACAGTATCTCTTTCCAACCCAACCCCTTCCTAAATCCCTCCAGAGCATATTTCCTAGCTTCCTGTTAGGATTCCCCACTTAGCTTCTAGTCTGCTAAATCACTCACCATTTCTCACCTCCTAAAAGTGTTGACCCCCTTTCTTTTGCTATATTTTGTCTACCTAGAGTTTGCACTCATTTTGAGTCCTCTTCTGTCATCTCAGGGGGACCAGTGCAAACTAATAAAAACAAAACAAAAAATAAAAACCTCACCCCCCCAACAAAAAAGATCCACAGAAACCAAACATTAGCCAGAAGAGATTTCCAACAAAGTTCCTTTTATTTAACTATAAGAAAATTTCTTTAGTAAAGTCACTAGAAATTTTCAGCTAAGAGTTAGCATTTTAATGACCATTAAGACCTAGGCTCTGGGGTTTGTTCAGTCTCTCCCAGTCCTTAGTGGGAGTTAGAGGAAGAGACATCATTTACAGAGACCAAGTCAGATGGTCGCAGGGCCCCCTTTCCTAGTTACTGGACAAGTTGCTCAACTCTTCTCCAGGGCAGGAAAGAGCCAGTTTCTCAGAAAAATTAAAGAAAAATTTGACATTGTATCATCTCTTTCAACAATTTAGACTTATAAACAGTATTGGTCCAAACTAATTTTTTTTCATGTTGCAATTTACTCTTTCTGTATATAATCTTAATAATTTTACTCTCTGTGCATAAATGAATCAACTCAGTGCAAAGAAAAACCCCTCAAACTGGAATAGCCTTATCTTGCTTTGGAAAAAGGTTTTCTGCTCATCTACCCAACAGATGAACACATATCCCCCCAAAGTAAAAAAATATTACTTCTGGCCTTGGAATGTAGTACAGTCAGCTTTTGATGAACTGAGTAAAACCACCCAGGAAGGGCGGGTGGACCCACTAAGCAGGCAGCCTTTGGAAACGTCTGAAAACCAACTCCTGCCAACTGCCCGGGAGTGTTCCAAGGCTCTACATTCCCGACAGGGGCTATTCCATTTCACGAACTAGGCTCAGAGGAGGCATTGGGATTTTCGGAAGCGAGAACAGCAGCTGTGGCTCCACGAGGTAGAACTTCAATAACTCGAGGCTTGTCAATGATCCGGGCCGTCCGATTTCCCTTCTCCACAATGCCGACGATCCAGGCCTGGTGACCCTCTCCATACTTGGAGGATTTGATTTCCGAACAAAAGCGGGCAGCCTGTTCTCTAGGCAGACAAATCAGTAGTCCTCCCGAGGTTTCAGCCGACGTTCCTTGGAGTAGTCCAAAGCGCCCACTGGCCTTGCTGATGGCAGCCATCTTGGCAATAATTGGCAGATTATGAATGACAAAGGACACCTCATTTTTTTGTTGTTTTGCGAGGTTCTGAGAGTGTCCTAAAATGCCAAAGCCTGTGATATCCGTGGCTGCATGGGCATTAAATGTGTGCATCAACCCAGCAGCAGTTCTGTTTAAAGTAGCCATATTGAACATAGCCTCCTGATAGGCCAGCTCTACCTCTTCTCTGGAAACCACCATCTTGATCTTATTCCATCGCTCAGGATTATCCAGCCACTGGTGGGCATTGGCAGCAACCTGGGTTCCTAAGGGTTTGGTTAACACCAGCACGTCTCCTACCACGGCACTGTCAGGCATGATGAATTCATTTTGCTGACATACCACAGTGGCAACTCCACCGATGATAACCCAAGGGTTGACCACTGTCTGTCCACCTGTCACTGCAGTTCCTCCCTCTTCCGCAGCATCCCGAAAACCTTTGATCATGAGTGGTGTCACCTTTTCTCGTTCCTCCTCACTCATACTCTGGCTGACACTGAGTAGCATTAACATATTGTCACATTCAGTAATGCCCATGGCGTAGAGGTCACTGAGCACGTTGGCACAGGCTATGCGCCCCATCATGTAGGGATCTTCCACCAAGGGGTAAAAGAAGTCAGTGGTCTGCACCAGGGACAGGCCACCGTGCCTCAGCGGGATGACGCAGGAGTCCATCCCAATGCTCAGGGAGGGGAGGGCTGAGGCTGGGCCTGGCCTGCCTGGCTGGCCACCTTCCTGGGCTGCCTCTACCTGGCCTCCGACCAGACCCGGGGCCAGCGCGGGCCGCGGGGCCGGCCGCGTCAGTCCCTCCAGGAGCTTGAGCAGCGTCTCCTGGGGGACCTTGCAGCCTCAGCCCTTCATGCCGGAGAAGCTGGTCAGCCGCCAACTCGGGCTGAAGCCCAGGGTCTGTGGCTCAAACGGCCGGTAGTTAGCGAAGCTCCTGGCTGAAGTCAAGCCCGGGGGGCCCGCGGGGCCCTCCACTGCCACCAGCGCCGCCATTGCCTCCCCGCTGGCGCCAACCGCGGCCTCCGCCATCGCGCTGGCCGGGCCAGGAGAAGGGCAGGGACGAAGAGGGGCTCTGCTACTATCTAGTCGAGTTCACTTGAAATAACAGTCACACATTACCCGAGATTCTCTACCGCACGTGTGCAACCGGAAGCCTCGCGCCACGCCGGTGCTGGTCGCAGAGACTGACGCCAGTATTTATGCACCGCGTGATTGACAGCCGGACCATCCAATGACGAGGCAGTCCTGGGAGGCGGGCTTCCTCTCCTCGAAAAGGTACTTTACAAATTAACCGTCTGTTTGCAAAACCGATCCCGCGGGGTTGTCACGTGCTTCTTTTGTAACTGGCCTGGATCGTTTCTGTCCACCAGGTTGGCTTCGAACTGGCGTCAGTCCTGCCTCAGCTTCCCAAGTGCTGGAATTACTGGCTGAGGCCGGGATGCCCGGGTCATCGTGTAAGGTGAATGATCGCTTGCAAGCGGCTGGCAGCAGGCTGACTTGGAATCTCTTTACCAAAACCTAGCATACTTGCAGAAGTCTCTTGGCAAACGTCTTGAAGGGTCGTTTGACAGGACACAAAGTCAGTGTAGGCATGGAACACAGTCTAAGAGGAAAATTGAGGGGGGGTTACAAATTACTATCATTAAGTAAGCAAATTGCAACATTAGTATTATGAAATAGTCACAAAAACTTAAATGAAATTAAGGACTCAAAGTCCAGACACCTGCAAAGTTTCAGATACAGATCTAGCCACTGCCTGCCTGTGTGAACCACTAACATCACCAGCTCAACATAATAGCCTACCTAAGTCTATTCTAAAATTTCTATATTTCTCAGTTTATATGTAAAACAGTGATAGATCCACAAAGAAAGGACAGTTTGCCAGTGTCTATTAAAATTGTAAGGGCTAAACAGAGTGTGGTGGCTTCACCCCTATTATCCCAGCTCTTGGGAGGCTGAGGAGGCTGGTTCACTTTGTTTTCCAGACCAACCTAGGATATATAATGAGTTTCAGAACAGCCTGACTAAAAAACCTAGAATAAATAAACTCACAACTGCTGCAGGGTGAAGTGATGCAGGCCTATAATCTGAGCCTTGGGAAGATGAGTTTGGAAGATGAGTTCCAGGCTGTGCTGGATAGCTTTAGCATCAACTTGACACATGGGAGCCAGAATTGCCTCTATTGAACTGGCCTGTGGCCATGTCTGAGGGGCATCTTTTTGATGAGTGATGTGGGAGGGCCCAGCCCACTGTAGGTGGTGCCACCCCTGGGCAGGTAGGCCTGTGTTGCATAAGAAAGCAGGCTGAGCAGGGGTCAGGGGAGCAAGCCAGTAAGCAGCATTCCTACATGGTCTCTGTTGCACCTCCTGCCTCCAGGTTTTTTCCCTCAGTTCCTATCTTGAGCTGCCTGATAAACTGTGATCTGGGAGATGTAAGACAAATAAACCCTTTCCTCCCAAAGTTGGTAGTGGTCACTGTTTTGTCACAGCAATGGAGAAACAAACTAGAACATAAATTGTTATCAGAGAGTGGGGCACTGCTGTGACAGATCTGACCTTGGTGTTCCTAGGAGCATTATGTAGGCACTTGGAATTTTGGGCTGGAAAAGCCATTGAGTGCTCAGAGTTTGCTGCTGTGGAGCTTGGCCCTGGGCAGGTGGGCCTGTATTGCATAAGAAAGCAGGCTGAGCAGGGGCCAGGGGAGCAAGTCAATAAGCAGCACTCCTCCATGGCCTGTGCTCCAGATCCTGACTCCTGGTTCCTGCCCTGAGTTCCTACCTTGGGCTCCTGGATGAACTGTGATCCAGGATATGTAAGCTAAATAAACCCTTTCCTCCCCAAGTTGGTAGTGGTCAGAGTATTTTGTAACAGCAATGAAGAACAAACTAGGACACAGGCCAACCTGGGCTATACAGTGAGACCTCAGCAAAAAAACCTAAATAACAAAAACTATGAGTACACATAATACTTTTGACCAATTCCAATTCTAGAATTTTACCCATAGATCCACTAATGTGGGTACCTTATTACTGTGCTGCTTGTAATCAGCCATGAATTAAAATAACTTAGTCTAGGGACACAGATCAGTGGAAGAGTATATAAAGTCCTGAGTTTAAACCCCAACACACACAAAAAATTAAAACAATTATGATTCCTTTATATAGCAGACTATCAGGAAACTTTAAAAAAAAAAAAAGCACTTGTAGGTTTTGTTTTTAGTTATACCTGGGATCTCATGTAGGACCTCATACATACTGAGCAAACGTTCTATCCCTGAACTATACTCACAGTACTTTTATTTTTTTTATTTTGAATCAGGGTGTCCCTGAGTTGCCTAGACTTTACTAGAATTCTAGCTCAAGTTGATCTTGAACTTGCAATCTTCCTGTTTCAGCTTCCTGAGTGAGATTACAGGTGTATGCCACTAGGCTTAGTTTGTAATCTATCTCTCTCTCTTTTTTGTTTTTTGTTTATTTGTCTTGTAGTCCAGGCTGGTCTTGAACTTGCTAATCAAGGCTAATCCTTCTGCTTCTACCTCCCACATGCTAGTATTATAGGCAAGGGTTCTAGCAATGGGTTGCACCATATTGTGAATGGTACTTAAATACTACTAAAGTCTACACTTAAATTGTTAGGATGTCTGGCTGAGTTCCAGGCAAGCTGGGGCTACAGGGAAACCCTGTCTCAAAAAAAAAAAAATTTCTTTTTACCAGGTGTGGTGGCACATGCCTTGGGAGGCAGAGGCTGGTAGATCTCTCTGAGTTCCAGTTCCTTCTCTCTCTCTCTCACCTACACACAGGCAATACACACATACACATAAAAAAAAAAAGATAGGTCTTATTATGTACTCTGGCTGGCCTGGAACTGGCTATGTAGACCAGGATGACCTGGAACTCACAGAAATCTGCCTGCCTCTGCCTCTCAAGTGCTGGGATTAAAGATGTGCACCTCCACACTCAGCACATTTGGATTACATTTTGTTGTTTGATTTTTGAGATCTGTCCTGCCTCAGCCCTGCAGAGCTGGAATTACAGGTGTGGGCCACAGTGTCCTGTTATTTTTTTATTATTTGATACAATACTGAAGCATGGCATGAACTGGAAGAAAATGTTAAACTGAGTTGCAATCCTGACATGGGGAAAACTGTCTAATCTCTTGACATCTCTGTCTCATTACTTGTAAAGAGTTCTTCACTTGAAGATAATTATACCAAATAGGGACTTTATGAGAATTCAATGAAAAAAATATGTGTGGTTCTTGGCTGATGGGAAACCTAAAAAGAAAAAATGAGAGAACCTGTGTTATCACACAGCAGTGTTGATGTGGATTCAAATTTAGACCTTAACTATGAAACCTGAAATACCTTTGGAGGTATGGTCTTTTGTTTTGTTTTGTCATTTTGAGACAGGGTCTCTCTGTAGCCCCAGCTGGTCTGGAACTCCCTATATAGACCAAGCTGGCCTTGAACTCAGAGATCCACCTGCCTCTGCCTTCCCAAGTGCTGGGATTAAAGGTGTGTGCCACCACACCCGGCCCATCTTTTTTTTATTTAAATGGAGCTGGAGCTGAAGAGCCTTGCTGTTAAAACCCTTGCTGTTCTTCCAGAGGATCCATGTTTGGTTACCAGCACCCATATTGGGTAGCTCATAAATGCCTATAAGTCCAGTTCCAGGGGATTTTGCTATATCCTGCATGGCTGGGAATGGTGGACACAGAAGAGTGACAGCACAGTATAAAATATTACATCAGATAACTTAATATTAAAGAAAGATGGGGACCAGGAGACTTCCCATTCTGCAGAACAAAAGAGCTCAGTCTCTAACCCCCCAAAAGTTTTATTAGCATGGATTTGGTACTCTAAGCATATATTCAGGAACAAAGGGGTAGGCAGGTCAAAGGACATTTCTCTGCAGGGGATCAGGAAACTATGAGCAATAAAATGTGGCCCGTTCACAAGGTATAGAGCAAATAGTCACACGACAGTGTAAATAAGGCATGTTTTTGAAAAAATATCTATCTAAACACAAGGGAAGTCAGGACCTGGGTCTGCATGCATGCCTATCATAGGCACTCTTGGCTGGGGATGACATTGTACATAACCCAAATGCTTTTGGTATAGTTCAAACAGGGTAGTGGTCTCCAACAGGATCAAGCACCCTCTTCTGTCTCCACAGACACCTTCATGTGCACATACACATACACATACACATAAATAAAAATAATAAGCTTGCCTTTAATCCCAGCACTTGGGAGGCAGAGGCAAGTGGATTTCTGTGAGTTCAAGGTCAGCCTGGTCTACATAGTGAGTTCAAGGCCAGCTGGGGTTACAGAGAGACCCTGAAATCAGGTCTCATAACAGCTTTTCAACCAGTATATATATATATATATTCATTTTAAAATCATGTCCCAGAATAGCTTTTAAAAGAAAATACAAAAAAGGATAGACTAGAATATTTCTATGAAAAAGATTATATCATTATCAGGCAAATAAAATCATCTTTCCTGTCAAAACACTGGGTCATGCCGGGTGTGTTGGATGTTTGCCAGTTCAAGGCTAGCCTGGTCTACATAGTGAGTTACAGGCCTGCTGGGGCTACAGGGAGACCAGGTTAAAAAAAAAAAAAAAAAAAAAAAAAAAAACCCACAAAAAACAATAAATAAATACATAAATCAAAATAATTTAAATGATCATAAGAGCAAAACACTAGACTATCTGCTAACTGGGGATACAAAAATCATGGCATAATCATAAACACACAATAGGGTATCTTTTTGTTTTGTTTTGAAACAGGTTTTCATATACCTCAGGCTGGCCTCAAACTCACTATGTAGCCATGGATGACTGTGAATGTCTGATCCTCCTGCCTCCACCTTCTGAGTGCCACCACATCATGTTTATGCAATGTTGTGGATCCATCTCAAGGCTTCATGAATGTTAGGTAAGAACTGTACCAACTAAGCCACATCATATATTGTTTTCAGCTATTTATTCAGTAATTATTTATTATTTGTTTTTTGTGTATGTGCATTCCAGTATGGATGATATATGCAGCATGTGTGCACATGTACTTCTATAGTGCTTGTGTGGAGGCCAGAGGACAGCTTTGTGGAGTGTCTTCTCTCTTTCCACCATCACATGAATTCTGAGGACTGAATTCAGCTCATCAGGTTTTTACTACAAGCACTTTAACCTGCTGGGCCA